GCAAATATTCCAATATGGGATCAAGGGGGAGGGGGCTATTCTCTCTCAGTAGGGGGTCCACTCACTGAAGTGCTGCTCTTCCTTACACAACAATAACCACACTGCAAGGTCTGTGACTGCCAAGGTCAGTCATGTGAAAGCAGAACAAGAACAGAAAGACAATTGGAAAGCAACACCTTTCACGTTTTTATAATTTTTATTTCAACCTCAGTTTTCTTGCACAATCTAATTCAATAGCAATTTCTTAAAAACAAAAAAACTCCTTTCTGATTGAAGCAGCAAAAACAGGGGAATCAAAACAAAAAACGAAAGTTTTCCTTTATGGAGTCTTTCTAAAACATTAAAGTTACCATTCGTAAGAACAAAAATGCTTACTATACTCAAATTTTATTAATTTGTGCAATATTCAAGTAAATTTCTTGATATAAACACATTTTGAAATGAGCACAACTAGGCCTGGTGCAGTGGCTTATCTCTGTCATTCCAGCACTTTGGGAGGCTGAGGCAGGTGAATCAGTTGAGGCCAGAAGTTCCAGACCAGCCTGGCCAACATGGCAAAACCCTGTCTCCACTAAAAATACAAAAATTAGCCAAGCGTGGTGGCACACGTCTGTAATCCCAGCTTCTCAGGAGGCCTAGGCACAAGGATTACTTGAATCAGGGAGGCAGAAGTTGCAGTGAGCCAAAATCATGCCACTGCACTCCAGCATGGGCAACAGAGCAAGACTCTGTCTCAAAAAAAAAAAGAAAGAAAAAAGAAAAAGAAACAACTACAGCTAAGCTTTTGCTAAACATATACCTCAACTGGAAGGAACAAAAGTGCCCAGGTATAATATAGGACTACTAATTTCTAATGTTCCGTGTGGTGTCGGTATCAGTCAGTGGGCTTTACAAAAGAAAAAGATGATGTCAATTGATTTGACAAATCAGTTAATTAAATGATAACTTCCAAAGAAGTTAATGCCATTCTGCGTCATTCTGATTTGTCAAATGTGATTTCTGACTTCAAGTCATAAGCTCATTTAAAAGAAAAATATAATAATTACAACTTTTGAGGCTGGTATTATAAGGTCACATGCATACCTCAAAATCTCTAAATATACGTAGGTCTGTTTTGCACTCACTCTAAGTAGATCAGATTACTATGTTCATGCTTAAGTACTCCAGCTTAGATTCTCAATGTTACTGTTAAGGTCATGTCTTTCTAGAATTAGTTTATTCCTTTCCAAGTGTTTTTCAAACTTTTCTTATTTGCAGTAGAAATACTTACCACATTAAACAAAATTGTCCCAGAGCTCTAATACATAAAACAGATAAATGCAGGGCTGCTTTGAAAGTAGGGCCCAACTGCCCCTTTATCCTAGGTAAGCAATATCAGATGCTTTTCTGCAAAACTCTAGAGCTTTTGGAACAAACACTAAAAAGTGTTCCTTTAAACTATAATAAAAAAATGAACATTAAAACAAAAGCTATAGAACTTAATAAAAGGCTATTACTTAGCTAATTAGAATATTCATTAACCAAAATATTTTCTGATCCCTATTAGTTGCTATAATTCTGAAATACTCAACTTACTCAATTAAAGAAATAAAAAATTAAAACACTTGGCTAAACTGGATATTTCAATTAGTTATTTTTCACTGTATTTAATTTTAAAGTGTCCTAAAGTGGAATTACTCAGCTATACAAAAGTCTGAATGAAGAGAAGAAAACAGTTCTCTGAAAGGATAAAAAAAGGAAGGCTGATGAATGATGAACAGATTATGTAAATATTTATCGTATTTACAACGACTTAAAATGTACCAAAGCAGGAAGCTCTGCCATTATGGACATTCAGCCTCTCAGAATTTGCTCAGTCAGAGGACAGACATCATGGCGGTAGAGAACATGTGTCCAGCCCAATAAGCTGTTCTACCTAGTCATATAATCTAAATGTATAGCTACGAAAAGGGGAAGGCCAGAAACAACCAAGCTGGATCTTATTACTTCCTTGCTCAGTGACAACAGGCAAACATTTGAATATAGGAGGTTCCCACCCACAAATCTTGTGTTAGATACAAATAGGAGTAATAAGTAACCAAAACAATAGTTATGCTGGTCTGACAATTCTCAACAATATTTTCAAAGCGTAAGTGACAAATCACTATAAGAAACCTAGAGAAGGGTTTTGGAAACAACTAGGCATTTCTACATGGATAAATAAAGATCTAATAAATATTCTGTGAAGAGTATAAGCCTTCATTTCATGATAGATTAAAAACTGGAGAACATAAAATTTGCTACGTTACAAAGTTTTTCTCCTAAAAACAATGTAGGCAGATAAAGAACTGGAGTAATCTACATAGCCATAAGGGTACATAATAGGATATGTAGGTAGAGAAAACAAATAATCAAACTATTGATGTTAAACCTTGGCTGAAGATTGGGTGCAGTTAGAAATAACATTACCAGTCTGTAGGACCAGAGAGGAAGCTGAAGAGAGAGAGCTTCAGAGAGAGCTAAAGCCTTGACTCTTATCTTTTTTTCTTTTTAAAGGCACTTTGATGGCATGTCAGGCTTATAGCGCTAGAAGTCAAAGGCCTTTTTTGACTACTGTTATCTTCCACTCACCAGCACTCTGTCACCATACTACCCCTTTTTACTTATGTAATTACCAATATTTTAAATTGATTCATGTGCTTGTTTACTATCTATGCCTCCTTCCCCCATCTGAATATGTACTTCAGGAGAGCACAGAACTAGTGTCTGGTTTACCAGTCTTGATAACAGTACTTGGCAAATTGAAGAGGTCTAGTAAGTATTTGTTGATTGAACAAGTGAATGAATGAAGGAACAAATGAACAAATCAACTCCAGTAGCACTTCAGCTCCTCCCCTCTTGATGATCTTCATTCATGAATGTATTTATTTTGTGACTCCTTTGGAAGTTTAAATGAGTATTTCTGGTGAGAGTAACTGGACACTAAGCAGGTGGTTTCATGGAAGCAGGAATCGAGAAATTACTACAGATAACTACAGATCCAAGAAATGTAGACATATAACTCATAACTCTCCTAAGTACATTAAAAAAGACTCTAATTAATCTTGCAGGGATGGAATGTGCATGTTAAAAAAAAAGACTGTAATATAGTGACTGCTCCAAAGATAAGAGAATTTACTTGCAAAATTACTATGAGTCACCCCTTATCCCTCAAAAAGCTTTCATTAAATAGACTGCTTCATTGTGGGGAGAACAGACAGAGTTCTGAAGGCTTCATGCAAATAATTTGTACAACAGAATGCGTGCATATGTGTTATGTATTTCTTTTTAAATAAAAAATTAAGATTTAATAAATGTTGCAGTAGATGCTAATATTTAACCATATAAAGCTATACTATAAATAAATTCAAATCAGACTATAGTAATCATTAGAAAACTAATGACAAATCTGACACTTAAAAATCTGTGACTTAGAACTAAGTATGGTGGTACATACCCGTAAGTCCCTGCTACTAAGAAGGCTGAGGTGGGACGATTGCTTGAGCCCAGGAGTTCAAGTCCCAGGCTGGGCAATATAATTCTAGATCTCTGAAGCATTCTGAATATTATGTTCAAGAATACAACATAATCACAAAAGTGATATTTTAAATTTTTAATTCAATGAGAAAAAAGAACAGTGCAGATAAAAGAATATCTACAAGAAATAAGTATCCATGAAAGAGATATGACTAACAAAATTCCATCCTCAAATATAAAAAAAGATATGATTGGTATTTGTAATTTATAATAAACTTAACTGAGCAATTAAATATCTGCAGAGAAGTATCTTAGCAGAGTTGTCATAAAATAGATCTTTTTATAAAGCCAAAACCTGACTCTCTGATTGCGTGTTAGTAAACCTGTAAGAATAAGATAGGTACTGCAACTGGACAGCATCCATGGTGGCATCATCAATTGTAAGGAAGGGACTAAGGATTTCTTTGTGTAAAATAAAACAGTACTTTATTTTTAAATTATATGTTCTTCTACTAATGAAAAAATGATCTGCCATAGCTTCTGCTGATAGTACCCAAGAGCTGGCGATGCCTCTCTTAAAGGGTAACTTTTGTATCACTTATCTTCATACTTGCCTCCTTCATAAACCCTCCTCAAAAGGAATTCTTGAGGGATGTCATCATTAGGTCCCAAGGATTTGAGTAATAACAATGCAATGAAAATAACAATAACAATAGTAGCATTTGTTTACCACATGTCCATCACTTTTCTAAATTTTTAGACACAATAACTAATTGAATTCCTTCAGTAGCTGTTTGCATAAAAGATACTGATTACAGTATTAAAATATGGATTGACAGACACAGCCTACTTAGAAATTTCTTTGGGTGTCCCTACTTTTGAATAAGCTTGTATGTTATTTGATATACCAATTCGAGGCATGCTTGAGCCATTTTTCTTATGCCAAGGAGCACAGTCTTCCAGTTGACACCTGATTTATACCACTCAACACCTGATTTATACCACTCACCTTGTTAAAACACTGTTTAGCTTCAGGTTATCTAAGGTAGAGGCACTGTGTACACATCTTCCCAACTCTACATTCAGTGACATCCTGTTGGTGACTTGAAATTGGCCATGCTGAGAGTATTTGACCCTACAGAAATTAGGGCTTTTTAAAAAATCAGCTGGTTGTTAAATATTTACTCATATATCACTGATTTGAGGAATTGTGTATCCTGTTTAGTTTGTGAGGCCCTATTCAGATTCAGGTAGAACAAGCTGATGTCTCTAAATTGGGCAAGACCAATTATCAACTTCATCTTTAGATATCCAGCTCTCAGGAGAGAGGCAACTCATTCTCATAATTGCTCTCCTAGGTCTCGAGGAGACTCTTTGCCTTTCATTTCCACAATATGACCAATTTTTATATGCCAAAAACTTCTTAAATACTGTAATTCATCCCATCTAAAATACCACTGATTACTAGATTGACTATTGTTTTATATATGATTAAGAAAAAATACCAGAGAGATCCAAGATGGCCGGTTACTAGCAGCTCAGGATTTTAGCTCCCAGTGAAAGCACAGAGAACGAGAGAACGCCACACTTTCAGATGAATTTTTGCTGCTCACAGACCAGGAGATTCCCAGCAGAGGAGCCCTACAGGTCACCAGCGCGACTCTTGTGGCCGGCGCAGTGGTTTTGCTGGTGTGAAGGTTTTGCCGGCGCCTCCGTGCAGTGGTTCTCAATGCAGAGTAAACGGGACTGGGTCCCCTTTTGGTCGACATCTGGAGCTCTGGGAAGGCAAAGTTACCCATTCAGCTGATTGAAAAACGGACTCAAGAGCGAAGCCAGACCAGAGATTCCCAGGCAGAAAAGCACCGTGAATCTTAACGCCGCTGTTTTGGCCGGCGCAGTGGGTTGTTCAGATTCCAGCGCTGGGAATCAACAAGTTTGACGTCCACTCAGAGACCTAATTTGAAAGTCGATAATTACAAAGACGACAGATGGATAAATTTACAATGATGGGAAGAAACCAGCATAAAAAGGCTGAGAATACTGAAAATCAGAATGCCTCTCCCTCTACAGGGGATCACAGTTCTTCATCAACAGAGGAACAAGGCCTGATGGAGAACATTCCATTAACAGAATTAGGCTTCAGAATGTGGATAATAAGAAACATCTGTGAGTTAAAAGAACATGTCCTAGCCCAATGTAAAGAAATGAAGAACGTTGAAAAAAGGTCTGATGAAATCCAAAGGAGGATAGACAATTTAGAGAGGAATATAAGTGAATTAATGAAAACTGAAGAATACGAGAACTCCGCAAAGTATGCACAGGTTTTAACAGTCGAATTGATCAAGCAGAAGAAAGGATATCAGAGGTCGAAGACCAACTTCGTGAAATGAAACAAGAAAAGACTAGAGAAGAAGGAGTAAAAAGGAATGAGCAAAGTCTCCAAGAAATATGGGACTATGTGAAAAGACCTACTTTATATTTGATAGGTGTACCTAAATGTCATGAAGAGAATGAATCCAAGCTATTAAATATTCTTCATGATATTATTCAGGAAAACTTTCCTAACCTAGTAAGGCAGGACAATATTCAACTCCAGGTAATACAGAGAACACCACGAAGATATTCCTCAAGTAGAGCAACCCCAAGACACATAATCATTAGATTCACCAGGGTTGAAATAAAGGAGAAAATTCTAAGTGCAGCTAGAGAGAAAGGTCAGGTTACCCATAAAGGGAAGCCTATCAGACTCACAGCAGATCTCTCAGCAGAAACCCTACAAACTAGAAGAGAGTGGGGGTCAATATTCAATATCCTCAAAGAAAAGAATTTTCAACCTAGAATCTCATATCCAGCCAAATTAAGCTTCATAAATGAAGGAAAAATAAAATTTTTCACGAACAAGCACGCACTCAGAGATTTCATCACCACCAGGCCTGCTTTACAAGAGCTTCTGAAAGAAGCACTATACACAGAAAGGAATAAGCAGTATCAGTCATCCCAAAAACTTACCAAAAGGTAAAGAGTATCTCCATAATGAAGAATCTATATCAACTAATGGGCAAAATAGCCAGCTAGCATTAAACGACAATATTAAACTCACAAATATCAATATTAATCCTAAATTTAAATGGATTAAATGCCCCATTCAAAGACACAGACAGGCAAATTGAATAAAAAGTCAAAACCCATCGGTACGCTGTATCCAGATCCATCTCATAAGCAAGGACACACAAAAACTCAAAACAAAGGATTGGAGGAAGACTTACCAATCAAATGGAGAGCAAAAAAAAAAAAAAACAGGAGTTGTAACTTTCGTCTCTGACGAAATAGACTTTAATAGTAACAAAGACTAAAAGAAACAAAGGACATTACATAATAGTAAAAGGATCAATGCAACACAGGAGTCAATGATCATAAATACATATCCACCCAATATAAGAGCACCCAGATGCATAAGACAAGTTCTTAATGACTTATAAAGAGACTTGGACTCCCGCCCAATAATAGCGGGAGACTTTTGACACCACATTGTTAATATTTGATGGATCAACGAGATAGAAAATTAACAGGGACATCTATGATTAGAACTCAGACCTGGAACAAGTAAACTCAGTGAATATTTATAGAATTCTTCACCCCAGGTCCACAGAACATACATTTTTCTCAGTATCACATTACACCTATTTTGAAAGTGATCACATAATTGGAAGTAAATCACTCTTTAGCATTTGCATAGCATTTCACAGACTTAAATGAAATATTGGTTGGCTGTTTGTTATTTTCTTCCCTTATTCCTTCCTGTCTCCGCTGTTAAGCACAACTATCAGCATAAAAGAGGTTTTTAATACCTATTTTTAGATTGCATTCCAGCCTGGGCCATAGAGCAAGACTCCTGTTCTCTCTCCCTCTTTCTCTTTCTTTCCTTCTAAAAAAAAAAAAAAATTTCCTATCTCTTTTCCAAGGCCTAGACTTAAATTTGAATGAAAATTTTAAATACTCTGTTGCACTCCCAGCATAACCAATACTATCTGTGAGTAAAATATTACTTCCATTTAATTACAGATGAAAGAAAATAATGGCAAATACTAAAACATTAAAAGAAATAATGTTTGGATATTTCTTGGATATCCAAAGAATTTACTATCCAAGTATTCCTCGGATACCAAAACAAAAAAAGAAAAATGAAAAAATAAAAAACACTGTCAGTTAATTTGATATACTGTTAACTCTAATGTGTATTTTGAAATACACATTATGAAAATTTTTATTTTCATTATTCTAATATCAAAAATAATGAAAACTAAAAAATGTGCATTAGAAATTGATGGGGGGAAAATCACTTCTATCTTGTTTACTCTTGTTTTCCCATTTTAGAATCTTAGCTCAACTTCTTGACTCTTAATATTCCACTCCTAGCTCCCCCACCTTAGTGCTTTCTCCAGTACCTATTTATACTCATAAATATCTTGACCTACATAAACTACAACAGAATGAACTCTATGTATTTGATAGAAAAAATAATCCTAAAAATAGATGCAAAATAATAAGAAAAGAAAATGATAAAGATAAGAATTTGGTGGAGGAAGACAAGAGTGCATTAAGCAGCAGCAAGGAAAGGCTTCTCAGAGAAGTGGAAAGAGACAATGAAACAGAGAAGGGATAAAAAAGACAGCAAACCACCATGGCAGGTAAGTACCTAAGCAATAATGCTGCAGGGTGCACGACATGCACATGCACCCCAGAGCCAAATACAATTAAAAAAAAAAAATGTTCCAGGCAAAATGGCCTGAGCCACATGCATTATTTCAAAGTTGTTTTTAAGTTCCAAAAACTGCTCTCAGTGCTTTGAGAAGACATGAGTCTGGTCTAACATGACCAATGGGTATTTTTCAACCACTTCAGACTTTTCTTTTAACAGCATTATCAAAACAAATAAATACGTTTTCTGTCTTTTCAAAAATCACCTTACATTCAACAATACTTTTGAGCTATCCAACTTTTATGAATACTCTTAAGGCACTTAGTAATGATTCTACTTACTCTCCATCCACTTCTGGTCTTCTACATACACAATGAAATTTTCCACCAAAATCTATGTAAAGATCATTCTCCACGATATGAAAGATCCGTCCAATGACCGGTTTATCCTTGGCAGGTCCCATCTGTGTAAGAGGAGAACGTCTCAGCATAGATGCAAAGGATTCCACATTTTTTGGAGAGCCCTAAATATGAAAAGAGATATTTATATATCTATAACTCATCATCAAGGTATAATAAAGCCTTAAAGAAATTTTCTTAAACTCAGTTGTTGTAGCAATAATTTAAAAATGTATGTGGAATGCCAGTTATGCTCTTCAATTTTCTCTTCCATCTTTTCTTTCCTGAAGAGGCATCTATACTTGGTGGAGGATTAGAGATGAGGTGGTCCAGAATGAGGTCTCAAGAGCCCAGGCACAGTAAGGAGAGTAGAAGAGTATCTGTATATCAAGTCTCTGAGAATGGGGTGGGAGGTGGTTAGTGGTCAGAGTGTGAGCATGTGAGGAGGGCATCCAAGCAGCAATTGACTTTATTCCTAGCACTGACCATCTGTTAAAAAATGCCTTTGAAGTCAAGTTTAGTGAAAATGACTATTCTTTTCATACAAATTTAAATATACATTAAGATAAGATGATTCAGAGCTTTTTATCACAATGATCAGTCTGAACATGGGTTCCTGATATATAATATTTTTAAACAACTTGAATTTGTGCTTTTTTGTTCCTAAAATAAAATTCCAAAAGAAAAATAGGTATTTTGTGCTGTTCACTTTCTAGGAGACTTTTTACATATTGAATTCACTTGAGATATGACTAATTATTCTTTGTTTTTCCAAACACATTTTTTCTAAATCCATGAACACAGATTTGTGCCTTCTACTCATTTTTCATTTGTATATGGAGTGGTATGTGCAATTTGGCACAAACTAGAGGAAGTGCTGCGTTTCTATTTGTGAAAGCAAATCACAGAGAATATTAACAATTTAATATTATGACCTACATGCTGTATTTGGAATGAGTTTTATATTTGTTATTCAAGGGAGAACTACTAAAAGTTCAATAGTAAAGCACATTTACTTTTAAAACTACACAACTGTATTTGTGACTTAAATTTAATGCATGCACTAATTGAAAGATTACAAACTCAAACACCAGGCCAGGTGGGGGCTTGATAATCAGAATATGTGCCCATGTTTAAAAGGTACAGCCACTACTCAGCTCCAGCTGCAGCTGCAATTCAAGTCCCCATGTTTTAATTTTCCAAGGAAAGCCAGAAACCAACATATTAGTGTAAATTTTCCAATTTTTAAATACTTATATTCAGGGGGAAAGAAGTTTTCCTTTTTACAAACCTGGCAAAACACATCCAGGTATTGAATTTGACCCATGAACCTCAAGTTTATGACCTCTGCCTCAGTAAAAAGAAAGTCAAGACATCTGGCTTATGCTAAGTCCCTTAGGTGCTAGAGGGAGGGTATCATGATGAATTTATTTGGTGGACTGAAAAACACTGGGAAAAAATCCTCAGCACAAAAAAGTCAATCTAAACTAAAGGCAAGTCAGTAGGCCTCGAGGCCAGCTAGACCTGAAAGGGTAGCCAGGAATGTATGCCATACGATATCACACTAGTTTTATAAATCCACAAAATATAACATTAAAGGTCCTTAAACAAGCACTTTGAAAAAACAGTTCTTTTTTGCAGAGTCAAAGATAAAACACAGCCTACAGACTTAACACAGACACGGCTGACTTGCCCTTTAGAGGTAGTGCAAAAGAGTAATTCTAAGTAAGACATTCTTGACAAGAGCAGCTACTATGATACTCTGATGGGAGCCACTACTCCATCCCTAGAACTGCCACCAACGCAGCTGAGGACAGCAGTGCTCAAGAGGAGCAAACAGTATCAACCTGGCGGTCTCTTGCTTGCAACCACGGCAGGTCCGGCCCACTTTCCCTATGATCTGCTTTCCCATTACTCCACTTCTGTGGTTGATATCTACCAGGGTTCCTTTCTTTTTCTTCTTCTTCTTCTTTTTCTTCTTCTTTTTTTTTGCTTTGGCTGACTTTCAATTGAAGCCACAGACCAATTAAAACTAGATGACAGGGGCCAGGCATAGTGACTCATGCCTATAATCCCAGCAATCTGGGAGGCTGAGGTGGGTGGATCACTTGAGGTCAGGAGTTCAAGACCAACCTGACCAACATGGTGAAACCCCATCTCTACTAAAATATAAAAATTAGCCGTGCATGGTGGTGTGTGCCTGTAATCCCAGTGACTCAGGAGGCTGAGGCAGAAGAATCTCTTGAACCCAGGGGGCGGAGGTTGCAGTGAACGAGATCATTGCACTGCACTCTAGCCTGGGCGACAGAGTAGACTCCATGTCAAAAAAAAAAAGGCAGATGACAGGAAGATGCAGTAGTAGTAGATCCAGCAGTTAAACATTTACTGGCAGTAATTCAGCCATCACTAGGCCCTGTTCCTAAAACAACACAATCTCCTTTTTCAATTGTAAAGAGATGCTTGAGCTAAGATTAGTATAATAGTAAGTGGTATTTTCCCCTTGGTTTTAGAAAATTATTGAGTGCTCTCAACTGTTTAAAAAGATTCTCTTGAGATTTTCAGTAAGTCTGTAAATATTTATTACATTATAAACCTTATAAAGTTATAGTTATTTTTAAAAGGCAACTTTAAAGTCAAGTGGAGGTAGAACATTTCTCTTCCATTATTTTTTGCCTTTACTTTTTGCAAGGAAGTCAGTGTGCTTTCAGTCAGTGAAATTTTACCACAGCATAAGAACCTTGGATGAATACCTGAATTTGCTTTTAAACTGCAGCTCATTATTTCATTTGATTTTTGACATTGTATCATTGATTTTGGGAAGCTACATCAAACAATTAGACAAACCCTTCTTTCAAAAGTCATAGTTTAGAACCATCTCTGAATCCTAGGGCTTAAGCCAAAATGTACTCATTTACCTGTTAATTGACTTCTAAAAATAGTAAATGTAGCAACTCCCACAGTCCATGTTGACTACAGGAGTCCTGTTTATAAAGTCTCTAAACTATCATTGATAGCTCCTCTCATGCTTACACAGACTACAGAGACTGGAAGCACACTGCAGCTGCTGGATATGTATCATGGAACTCAGTGCCTAACCCTGGAAAATGTTACAATAAAGCTCACTAACTGAGCTGTCATAGGTACTAACTGCTTCCTTTAAGAGTTGGTCATAGAGATCAGATCTCCTGCTATTCTGCTGTACTGTTTTCTCCTTTGAAGCCTGAAAGTTGAACAGGACTGTCAAGGTAGAAAGGAGGAAGGTAAAGGAATTACAGACATAAGGAACAGTATCACTTTCATTTATTCACTTATTCATCAAACATGTGGTTGTCTTTTTCATATACATTAAGTATATATATAACTATCATGCATATGAGGACCATTTGACATACAGCTTGGAATCGGGGCAACTAGTGCTAAAAGAAATATGAGACATCAACTAATCTAACCACCTCATGTTATACGTGAGTACCACACATGCTATAAAACTACATGGTATGCTGAACAGTGGTTCTTAAATAAAACGTGCTGCAGAAGACAAACATCATTACAAACTTAAAAGGAAGAAAACAGTACATAAGAATAACAAATACTTACAAAACCTGACTTCTATGACCAACTCAGCCAATAAATAGCTAAAAAAAAAAAAATCCTGAATAAATCATTTAAATTCTCTGGATCTGTTTTCTCATTTGCAAATTAAAAGACTGGATACCTATAAACTTTCTTCCAACTCTAAAGTAGTAGGAATTCTTAAATACTCTAAAATATGAAAAGGATTTTATAAAGTAATACGGGTTAGAAATGAGACACCATCCTACCCAGTTACCTTTTTTTTAATGTAAATAATAACAACAGCCGGGCATGGTGACTCACACCTGTAATCCCAGCAGTTTGGGAAGCTGAGGCAGGCGAATCACCTGAGGTCAGGAGTTCCAGACCAGCCTGACCAACATGGAGAAACCCTGTCTCTACTAAAAATACAAAATTAGCCAGGCGAGGTAGTGCATGCCTATAATCATAGCTACCTGAGATGCTGAGGCAGGAGAATCATTTGAACCCGGGAGGCAGAGGTTGCAGTGAGCCAAGATCTCGCCATTGCACTCCACCCTGAGCAACAAGAGTAAGACTCCATCTCAAAAATAATAATAATAATGAAATGCTACATATACTTTAACTACTTCATACTGGTTAGCAATAAAAAAAATCTCAACAGGCATCTCCAAAAATGACTCCCATCTATTAACAGTGCTATAATAACTTCTGTTTCTTTAACACTAACCAATAAATGTTATGCTCATAACAAAGTTCTTTTATTGAAATAAACATATTGGTGCTCAAGACAAGGCAGTTATATTTCTCTCTCTCCCTGTTGAAATCCCATTAAATGATGATAAAAGAATAAAAAAGATTATAAACCCTTGATATTGAAGAGAACAGATGGAAACCAAAAGTATACAAACACACTTTCTAGTGGATAGAAAGCATGTGGAAGAATGGTAATTAATGCAGTGGAGTGAAATGCAAGAGGAAGAAGCTGTGGGGGAAAAAAAAACAAAACTCTTCTATCCTGAAGAATTCCATAAAGGTAAATGCCAGGCTGCAGTGAGAAAACAAGCTAAAAACAAGGAGAATAATTTAAAAAAAAACAGAGGCAGGGCAGTCAATCTTCTGTAAAGCACAAAATACCTGAAGTGCATAATACCTGGTAAAATGCATGCATTATCCTGGCAAAAATAAATATATTTTTATAGAGGAGATCTAAGTTTGGGATGGTTTGTTATGCAGCAGTAACTTATACTGCTTCTATAACCTATAGAAGCAGCAAAGAAAAGAATCCAAATGACAGCTGTGAAGCAAGCATATGAACAATTAATGATGACTCAAATACGAGGGCTCCCAAAGGAAGGCGGTGAGGTCTGGCCACACGGCTCAAGACTTGGTTCTACCACTTACCAGCTCTGGGAACAGGCCTATGCACTTAGAATCTCTGTGCTGCTGTTTACTCATCTTATAAAATGGGGTTTATAACCATATCTATTTTACAGGATTGTTGTGAGGAATAAATACATGGCCATTGTAAAGCACTCAGTTTTTGAAGGTAAACAGCCCCCTGTAAAACATT